GGGGGGAGGAGGTGGCGGCCATCTTCGGCCGGGGTGTTTGACATTTATGGAAATAGCCCGTGTGGTTGTTCCCTCCCCCTTTCTCCCAGTGCCCTTACTAGTCTCTGTTAGCCTTGACATCTTTGGTTTCCATAGCGATTGCAAGAAGTTGCAACAGCGGTTTTATACTTGGACTTGGCGGAAACAAAACCTTGGCAGTTGTGGCCGTTTGGCCAACAAACCTACCTTGGCTCAGTTCTCTTAAATGCTTTTGAGGACTTACGGTGTTTTAGTATAAACTGCGCTCTTGTTTTTTTCCCATTTGAAGAGCGTTGTTAAATCTGTGATAGCAGCATTAACTGTATAAAGTGTTTTTGATTTTGACAGTAGGAGGCAGGCAGTCTGCTCTTGTCTCAGTGATATTTGAAGAAAATCAAGCAGTAGTTCAGTGTGGTGAGATGCAACCCAGTGCTGTATTCCTGTGGCACAAACTTTGCTCCTGTCATTTCAGGTGACACTAACTAGAATAAATGGTGTGATGGGCTCCATTGCTTAGCGAAGTGCAATTTTGGAAATACCTGCTGTCCTACGGTGATGTTAGTTTTGTTTAAAACTTACGTTGGTGTCATTTTGTGTTTTAGAAAGTACAACAATATACGTTAATAATTCAAGCTACGGACATGGAAGGAAACCCAACATATGGTCTTTCAAACACAGCAACTGCTGTCATCGCTGTGACAGATGTCAATGACAATCCTCCAGAGTTCACCGCCATGACTGTAAGTACAGGGTGGGAGTAACTGAAGGATGTGCATGTTTATAACCCTTCCCCGCTTTTCTTATTATATTCACAGACAGTAAATATTTATTACTTATTAAATAGTGTACTGGCAGGCAGAATTGAAATACGTGCAGAACATATATCCCTTAGATACGGTATTATGCTTAGGCCAAAAGGCAAAAGCTGACAAGGGAATCAAACCATAGTTTTCTAGGTGGCCTCAGGTAAACTTAGTTACAGAAATTGTCAGAGCTCCAGTGAAGAGAGATGCGCTCCCTAACGTTGATGAAAGTTCAGTATGGCGTGGGTCTTGTGTGCTTCTGCAGCTGAGGTAAAATGCTTTCTTGGTTTTTGCAGTTCTACGGGGAAGTACCGGAAAACAGGGTGGATGTGATCGTAGCGAATCTGACGGTAACGGATAAAGATCAGCCCCACACGCCTGCGTGGAATGCGATGTACCGAATGACCGGAGGAGACCCGACAGGTCGATTTGCCATCCTGACCGATCCCAATAGCAACGATGGGCTGGTGACTGTTGTGAAGGTAAGAGATGCTTGCGCTTCAGAGAATTAAGCAGAGATGGAAGAAGTGTGAAAAGGGAAAATATGAACTCCTGAGGCCAGCAGGAGTCTGGAAAGTAGAATGGATGGGCACCATCTGTCTCGTGGAAGTAAGCCATCAGTTTCTTGGAGCGTTTCCTTGCTTATGCTATCAGTAGTATTCCAACTGATCAGTTTTAAAAACCAGGCTAGGTTGTTGAAAATGACAAATTTTGAAGCTTTATTTGCCAAAAGGTAGGAACTACTCTGTGAAAAAGCATTTGCTTAGCATTTGTTGCTAGTGTAAAGGAACAGCTTCCTACCTCCTGGGCTTCATTAGTAGTCACGCTTGTTGTCTGTGGGTTTTATGTCAACATATTCCCAATAAGGAACAGATATAGGCAGTCAAGGCACAATCAGAAAGCAAAAAATGATAGGTGGGAGGCTACTTCTACAAGAGGCTTTTAAAGACTGGCTATTTTTAAGACCTCATTTAAATACCTTTTATGGAATAACCTGTCTATCTTCATTCTGTAGCCAACACAGCTCTGTGTTGAGGAGTGACTTATTTCAAGCAATAATAACAATGTCATTCTATAATTAAACCTGTCAAGCAGTAGCCACCTTTCCTCATGGCCCTCTGATAAGTGTCTCATCTCTGAGTTGGCCTGTTCTGGTTTTTGCTGATCCACTTACAAAGTCAAGTGTGAGATGCCAATGTTCCCATTTGGAGATTAAAACATTCACTTTCCCCCCACTTCTTTTCCTCCCCCCCCCCTTTTTTTTTTTTTTTAAATCTTCGCGGTATCTAGTTGGGAAAAAGATACAATTTTTGTACAACTGTAGTGGTAATTCACACTAGGGTTTTTTTCCCCTTTAAGAACTGTCTGTTTTATAACAGCGCTTCCAGAGGTACCAATTGTTATATTGCAGAATTATGTGAGTGTCTGGGCTTTGTAATTAGGCATATAAGCATCTTTTTCAGATCTAGGAATGGTATCAAACTAGAAATGTCTGGAAAAGTGAATTTAAAAAACGCTCAGATTAAACTGAAGTAGTATAAAGAGAAGCAAGCTTAAGATTCCAGATCTCTAACCTGTTTGATATAGCTTTGCTCACTTACAAATTTATTTTTAACAAATTCTATCCCCTCTACTGCCAGAGCATCTCAGTGCTTTGCTACATCTGACCTGGTTTAACAACAGTAGCAGCATGAGGGAGCCTCATTGGAAGAGGACCTTTTTCCTGCAAATGCAAGAGAACAATGGGGCTCTTCGGAAGGGGGCCAGCTGTACCATCTGAAATCAGAGGCTCTTAAACAGCATAGGAAAATCAGCCTGAGTTGGTAAATGGCAGTTCTGCAGTCTGGCCAGCAGCACTCCTTTAAGCACCCAGACATTGGAAGAGATGGAAGCCTGCCTACAGTTTTTATTGGCAGTGCAATGAGTTGATCTATCAACCTGTAATGAAGATTGGATTGTCTCTTGTCACTGACTTCATACTGTCACATGCCAACAGCCCCTGTAAGGTACAGGGTTCCTTCAACTCTAGAATCAGTGCGGGTAGTACAGTGCATAGTACTAAGGAGAATCAGGTCTCGGGGAATGCTTCATCCCTGTGCAACACGACAGAGGAACTCTAACCTCAGACTGTTTTTAGTCCTCCTTAAATTGGACTTCTGGCTCAGTGAGGAAGTCCCCAAACTGAAGGTTGTCTGGACTGTGAAGATGGGAGCTGTAGGTATACCAGCAGTGGGATTAGCTGAGATTACACAGTCTTTCTAGCAAAACACTAAGGGCATGGGAATCTCTGATCTACGGGGGTAGGTGTGGTCATGATCTTGTTTGAAGGAAGCCTTCGTCCTCGTAATAGAGAGAGGCAGGTTTCTCTCCCCAGGAGAGCTCCTCAGGAGGCACATCTGCTCACGTGAGCGCCTGCCACAAAGCTGGGAGTTTCTACATCATCTTCTGATGAAACTACTTGTTTCCTCAGTTACCACTAATGGCAGTACCAGAGTAAGTTAAATCCAAGAATGACAAGGTTTCTAGCTGTTCTGACTTCAAAACTGCTGCTGCTAAGCAAAACCCCAACCCAGTCTCGTGTTGAGGTTGTTACATTGATTGTGTTCTCTTTAGGCTCTGTGCTCATTTCTGAGAAAAGCAGTACAAGTAATGTTTAAAAATGTGCTTTAAAGTAAAAATGTTATTGTGTGTCCATCACTATTGTGAGTAAATGTTAACACTTCCCGCTCTTTGCTTTTCCCAGCCTATTGACTTCGAGACCAACAGGATGTTCGTACTTACTGTAGCTGCGGAAAATCAAGTGCCTTTGGCTAAGGGGATTCAGCATCCTCCTCAGTCAACAGCAACTGTGTCCATTACAGTCATTGATGTGAATGAGAGCCCATATTTTGTTCCAAACCCTAAGCTTGTACGTCAAGAAGAAGGGCTACTTGCTGGTAGCACGTTGACAACTTTCACTGCTCAGGATCCAGATCGTTACATGCAGCAAACCTCTCTAAGGTCTATATAAACATTCTGCAGTTATTTAGCAATTGGAATGCAATATCCATGTTATAGAATGGATGGGGAGCAAAGAGACTGCATGTGAGATGACTGCATTTGCCATAGCACACAACTATACCAATACCTCCTATAGCTTTTATGCAGCTCTCTCTAAAGGGATTTTTGGCTGTAGAGAGGGTGACCTGACCAGGATTCATAGATGTGTAAACTGGGTCATATTCTAATGCTAAATCCCACTTCATCAAGGTAGAATGAAGTTACGCACCAGTGTTAAAGTATACGTGGCATCCCAACAAATTCAGTCAGAGTAGACGCATGCTTGTGTGAACTAAGATAATTTGCAATTTAAATTAAATAATAATTTTGACACGGCAGCAAAAGCATATCAGATTGTTGACCAAATCTTAAGGGTTTTCTTCTCATTTATTCTCCAGCAATGCAAAGTGCTATTGTTGTCCATCTGTGAACTCTTGTACTGATAGCTATGATCATAATTTGATCATCATTTGTCTAATGTGTAAAACTATGCTAAAAGAGAGAAGTGAAGAGGATAAAATATGGAAATCTTAAAGCATACTTTCACATACCTCATTTAAAACATGGTCACTGATTGCAAAGCTAAGGCACAGCGACTAGCCTTGGGCCAGGACTCAGGTTCCTAGCTTATCTGAAGGCTTTTTTAGCTCATGTGGAGGAAACTCCAGAACTTACATTCTGTCTTTCCGTTCAAAATCAAGGTACTTACAATTTTATTTTCTCTTAATTTTGGTTAGCTGTTGCTGATATTTTACTCATTTCTGGACATAACCATCATAGACATGATAGCATGAGGACTTAAGAATATATGCATTTTTAATTACCTAAGATAGCTTGCACTTGATTAATGTCAAAGGGCAAATTTATCAGATAGAAGGATGATTTTGAAAGACACTCCTCTTTCAAATTAAGATGAGAACCATGCAGTAAAACCAGGGCCTCTAAAAAATTAGCTTTAAGTGATAGTGAAAGCCCTAGAATAACACAAGTTAGTGCTACTCTAGCACTCTTTATGCATTATTACGTCTCTCCTGCTCTCAGCACTCTGGTAAGGTAAAAGTTAGCATGAACAGCTCTGTAAGTATAGAACAAGCAAGAGGGGTCCTTAATGAAATACTTTAATTGAGTCTGAATATGAATGTTGTATAGTTTATGGTAATTGTATGATTTACTCCAGTTACATGATAACTTACATGGAAGGGCATTTCAATGATCTAAATGTAGGACTGGTTTTAATATGTCTTTTCAAGAATTTTAGCGACAAGGCTTAATAAATGGAATTTTGTGAAATATTGTCTACAAATTCCAAAAATGTGTTCAGAATACAAATTAAAATACTAGTATCGTCTTTGTTGTCAATATTTATGTTTGCAGACAAATAACACGTCTTGTGATCAAATACACAGGTACTCAAAACTTTCAGATCCTGCAAACTGGCTGAAAATTGACCCTGTTAATGGACAAATAACTACTACAGCTGTTTTGGACAGAGAGTCAATATATGTGCAAAACAATATGTATAATGCAACGTTTCTTGCTTCTGATAATGGTATGTAGCAACATTGTATATGTTTTCAAAAAGCTTACTTCTGTGTGGTTGAATGGCATTCAATTTTACCAGGGCAGAAAACAAGATATGCTTAGAATACATCTGGGCGGAAGTCTGTATTAGTATCAGACTTTGTATATTTGCCAGCTACTCTGGAAATAGGCTGAAAAATAATTCTCTCAGTTTGGAGAAAGGTACTGGCTTAGTTACATTAGCCGAGTTTACAGAAAACTGAAAAAACCAGCACAGGAGTGCAGTAGGCTGAGTGTATGCACAGCATGAGTGAACTTTATGGGGAGTAACGTGTTGAGGGGAGGGGTATTGTATTTTTCCACATTCAGGCTACAATAGTGCAGAGGGAAGAGTGTCTTTTCATTGTCAGTTTGTTAATGACAACAGTCTGCTCACAAACGAGTCCTTTGAGTTTGACTGGAGTACTGTACTGGTCATAGCTGATAGCAGAAAGATGGACAGGTGCAGTTAGGAACATTCTCGCATTAGAGGGGAAAACTGAAACGCTGGGGCTATTTACCTTGGAGAGAAGACAAATGGTAAAATTTTGCAAACTGATACAGTATAACAAAGCTAGATCAACTACTTCTATCCTTTTGGCTCTGTTCTGGAGAACAAAATTAAATGGAACTGGAAGATTGTAGGGGGAGTGGGGGTGGAATGAGAACCATTGCTAATTATACTGAGGAATTCGGTGCCGCATGTTCACATAAATGTGTGACTTTAGCAAGGTTTACGGAAGCATCACACATTCGATATGGATAGCAAGAATGTCTAGGATTAGCGTGCTGAAAGTCAGTATTAGAAAGAATTTAAATAGCACACTTGTGGTAAGGGGTAATCCTGAGTCTTCAAAGTTATAAAATAATTTCTCCAGAGGATAAACTATGACAATTTTGCACCTTTTTCTCTGAAGCATTTGATGTGGACTGTCTCTGGAGAGGTACTGGCTGTCTAGTCATTAAAGCAATTGAGTCCCTGATCTGTGGATCTACAGTTATTTGCTGATTTTTGCTAAGTAGGGCAGTTTTTCTGAGGACAGACTACGTAAGAATTTGTGTGTTAGCAGGAGCAGTGACAGTGTTAGATTGGCTTGGTAGAGACAGAATCCCAAAACTGAGCTGAACATATGTACGTGGTAATTGAAGAGTGTTGGTATAGCTTCGGTTAAGTAACTTTCCAATTGGAAACAGACTCAATACCATTTTCTTTTTTTTAAGGAATCCCTCCAATGAGCGGAACTGGCACACTTCAGATATACCTGCTGGACATCAATGATAATGCCCCCCAAGTGAATCCGAAAGAAGCCACGACTTGTGAAACACTACAGCCTAACGCTATTAACATCACTGCTGTAGACCCTGACATAGATCCAAATGCAGGCCCGTTTGCCTTTGAGCTGCCTGACACACCTGCTAGTATTAAAAGGAACTGGACTATTGTTCGAATTAGTGGTAATTAACATTATAGAAATCTTAATCATTTTAAAGAAACTATTGCATATACTTTTCTGTATTTTACTTTGGTGTTACTTCACAACGTACGTGAATTTGGTCAGTATGAATAGCAAAGCACCTTAGTGCTTAATAAGTTTCCCAAAAAACAAGAAATTTTAAGAAAGAAAAGATGTTCACAGTAATAAAGAAGTCTGTTATCCTGAGTGTCATGTACCTTTGAACAATAAGTTAACACAGAGCTCAAAGATGAGCCATTTTTGCCAATACCATTTTAAACCCACATTACTTTTTAACAAGTGCCTTATTTTCACACACAGGTGATCACGCCCAGCTCTCTTTAAGGATCAGGTTCCTGGAGGCTGGTATCTATGATGTGCCCATAGTAATTACAGATTCTGGAAATCCACATGCATCTAGCACTTCCGTGCTGAAAGTGAAAGTTTGCCAATGTGACATAAATGGAGATTGCACTGACGTTGACCGGATCGTTGGCGCAGGGCTGGGCACTGGTGCCATCATTGCAATTCTGCTTTGTATCATCATCTTGCTCAGTGAGTAGATAGATCTCTTAATCCTAACTCCTTTGTTTTGCAAGTATCACCTTATTTTTTAGTCGCATGTACCTTGACAGAGACAGGGGAGTGATTAAAGACTCAAGTCCAAGAATTATTGCTGCTTAGTTTGATGTCTTGGACAAATATGAAAAATTTCTGATGGCAAAGGATTAGGAGTCTGTGAGACAGATTGTATCTAGCACTTGCATGGCAGTCAAGCCCCACAGTGGGTTTGTGACAGAGATTTTCCATCTATGCCCATTGGCACTTGTTACGTTACATCAGTGAGTGAGCAGGTTGAAGATGTGATTAGCCCCCAGACATCTAGTCTCTCTTGTGCTGCTGGTACTGCATGATTTGACGCCACCCACAGCATGTAACAGTGCCTTTAAGGAGTGGTCTGGTGTTAGTACTGTTGCGCTTCAGATTAATGTAAGTAGGCTATTTGATGATTTTGGAAAGTAGTACATCACAGCCCTTCATATAAGGCCCGACAAGCAGGCAGCCATGCAGGAACAGAGATGTGTATGTGTGTTTAAGTATTACGTAAAGCTGTGCTAGTATTTTATTTTTGTGTCAAGCGCATTCAATAAGGGAAATGACTAAACATCATGACTAAGTGTCTGTCCAGTGTAGTAAATTAGATGCTAGCTCTCCTACACATTATGGTTAACTGATTTCTGATTGTGGTGGAACACAAGGAAGGGATTAATCTGTTCAGAGTATACTGTGCACCAGTCCAGAACATACAAAATGATGGAAAGGGGTAATCTAAAAATAAATAAATAAATAAATAAATAATTTGAGCCTGGCTAAGCCCATGGCTGTACACAAGCACAGTACAATTATTTTCCTGGTACAGGATACTCTTAAAATGTTAGGTATTGAATTCACAGAGCCTTATTGAAACTATCAAATCCTTTAAGATACTCTTCATATATTGACATTCTAGATACATTGGAATTTCTTCCCATGAAGATGGTTGTGATTGGAAAAATGCCTATTGTATTAGGAATTTGTTTACTCACATTTATTCTGTTTTGTTTCTCATTCGGTTTTCTTTAACAAGCTTTAGTTTGTAAACAAACAGTATAACTTGAAATTGTTGAGATTAAAGATTAGAAATATATAGCTCTAAATGCCACTGCGTTTTCCTAAACCTTGATTACTGTTGCTTCTAAACATAAATCTAGACTTAGGCAACAATATGGTCTGTTCTCGTGGACTGCTGAGCTGTATACCAAAATGGCCTAAGCTTGGTGATGTTCAAACATCAGAATTACTTAAACTGTATAAATGCTGGGGACATAGCAGAAAAAAATATAAATAACATAATCTTGTAGAATTCTTGCCACTACTGGAGAGATTCCCTTCTGAACCCAGTGGTTTATGAAGCTTGGTCTTTCTTACTTCTTTTCATGACAAGTTTATTTTGCAGATGTGGAATGGGTTTGTGACTTCTGACCTTGAATATGTGATTGATTTACAAATCAAATTGCCTGTAGTAGCCTGAGTTTAAACATCTCTTGCTTAAGCTGCCTTCTATGATATTTTTTATTTGGGAAAAAAAAAAACCAAAAAACCAAACAAACAAACAAACTTCATCCAGAACAGTCAAAGCCATCTTTCTTGGCTTTTTTCTTTTTTTTTAATCTTGGTGTTAAATTTGTACAATTTTCCATGGCTGTACTTCAGAATCAAGATACGGTTTTGTGTCTTCCCTTTTTGCAATGTAGTTTTAGTTTTAATGTTCGTGGTATGGATGAAACGCCGAGATAAAGAGCGTCAGGCAAAGCAGCTCTTGATTGATCCAGAAGATGATGTGAGGGACAACATTCTGAAATACGATGAAGAAGGTGGTGGAGAAGAAGATCAGGTGAGGAATGATTAATGAATTTTATGTATAGATTTGCACTTTACTCTGCACTTTATCTATTTTGTTTCCATTGATACATTATGATAAGTAGCTAATCTTTACATTAAATACTGAAGGCAATAAATAATGTTTTAAAAACCTGAAATGTAACATTGCTTTCTTATGTTGTTCTTTGCAGTTCCAGAAATACCAATTGCTTGCCTTTTGGATAAGATGTAAAACCAGTATCTTGTCCACTTACAGTCACAACATTCTGACCATATTCCAACGAAGGCTGTTATATTTAAATGAAAATTAACATCCGCTCTCATTGCAGTCCGTAAACCTTCTTTACTCGTTGTCTGAGATCCTGTTGTACAGAATCACCAGTGCAGAGTGCCTAATATAGTCTATTCCAAATATGACCCTTTTTTAGTGGTGGGTGAATGCCTTTCTAGATATACAGTAATGTTGGCTATTGACAGATTGGCCACTACTGGGATTTCAGCTTGGAAAGTATTTATGTTTTAAGTAGCTGTCAGGGCACATCTCTGTTTATTCAAATACCTTTCCAGGCAGGTGCCATATGCATTTATTCTCACGTCAACTCTGGTCGAACCACTGCTGATACGTCAGAGAACTAGGAGTGATGTGTATATGCTAAGAATAGCTTCTTTTTGCCTCTCTCTCCAAGTTAGTAAATTTCCAAGCAGCGCGATTTCCTTCCTTCAGAGGAGGTTTATTAAGTGCTTTATGAACATGACAAACAGTAGATTTATGCACATTATTAGTGATAGAAGTAAGTGTAATAATTACAAAGGGAACAGTGCATATAATAAAGCCTAAGAAATCTTCCAGTAAAAAGTCTTGAAAAACTAAGTGTAATTCTTCTGCACATCCCCAGTCACAGTCATCTGGCGCTTGAGTTATCTGAAAAGTGTCTCCCTTCACTGGTACAGACATTTATAGCTTCCCTCTGCTCGTTTGTTTGTTTGTCTGAAATTTGTGTTCCCCTTAGTAATTTCCGTGCTTCCTGCATTTCCCCAAGTACTATTCCTACTTCCTGGCTTTTCTGCATAACTTTCTTTTTAAGCAATTTGCAAAGGAAACTTCAGTTTTTGCAGTTTTGGAAAATTGCTTATGTTACTAAATAAATTGAAGAGAACGCTTTGAGTCTGTGTATGTATTCCAGTTGTTTGTACACAGATAGTTTGAGTACAAGAATTGCATCCTGTTTGTACATCTGTTATTGCACAGAAGAGTTAAAAGCTTAAAAAACATCAAGAAAACTCAGTCCTGTGAGAACTAATTTTCCCGTTCACATATCCCCAGCTCTTTTTCACCCATAATTCTCTGGAGGATCTGTTCAGCAATTTTCATGTGGTTTTGATTTTTAATTATTGTCCACACAACCCTCAGGACAGAGTCAGTAAGGTTCTCAGAGTATATACTGTTCATTGGGAAGTGATTCCCAATGATCATCGGTGACGCTAGAGTAGTGTTGGGAGAGGTTGTGCTGCAGATCAGAAACTTCAAGCATTGTTGTAACAGTGTATAAATGGTGCTGAAGTCTCTCCTCTGTCCATCTTGTATTATGCTCCTCTCCAGTGAAAGTGCTGTCTTTGTGAGAGGTATAGTCAGGGTAGTGCGGCAGGAGGTAACATTGTGTGAATGCTGTAGAGTTTAGCAGGATGTAAACCGTCCATAAATGCAGCCTTTCACCAGTGGTGAATGAGCGTAGTACACGCAATGAAAGGACAAACTGTCAGTGGGTGGAGTAGCAGTAAAGTGGTAAGAAATGTGAAATTAGGATAATTTCCTCTCACAGTGAGCAGAGGAAGCATCTAGACACAGAGAGGTTTAAGGGCTTTATTGAAAATTGAATGATTTTGAGCCACAAAAACCCTGCTTTGCTTTCTTAAGACAAATTTTAAGGCCACTGTTGCAAATTAAGTATCTTAGCTGTCAGCCACATAATTCAGGTACACTGGTCTCTTTCCATCCAATGAGCAGTAGACCATTGTGTCTGAGGGCCTAAAAGGTCTTTATACACTCCAAATGTAACAAACATTGCAGGAAAAGAAAATAAAAGCTCATACTAAGTATAGCAAGCTTTTATAACCACTTCTGTAGCAAGAGTTTTAGACCACTGTGTAGGCAAAAAAGGGGGTAGGTTCTCCCACAGCTCCAAAGTTAGGAATTTGTTCCTGTCCAGAATGGCTGAATAGAGAGCACAAACTTTTCACGTAGACACTTAATTTTCCATCTATGATGGATGATGGAAATAAGTTCTGTCTTGCTTTTCAGGAAGATTATTTTACTTTATTTTGGTTTGATGTTTTGTAAAATCTAATTTCTGCGGGTGCTTATCTAGATGATAATAGTTCCTAGGTTCATTTGTTCTTGGTTCCCTCTTTACCCCCCTCACCTCCTGTGCCCAGGGGAAAGAGAGAGGATTGTATTTGGTTGGGTTTTATTTGGTTTTGCACGTATTTTATGTGAGATTTAATAACTTGGAATGCTAAACTTTTGAAATGTCCCAACAAGTTCCCTACATGTAGTAATCTCATTTTTGCAAACCGTGGCTTAGCAAAATACTGTACAAGCAAAGCAGTGTGCAGAACATTGTGGGCAAAAGGCATTGGCCATAAAGATCTTTGCATTTTTGTCAAAGTTAAAGTAAGCATTAAAGTGTCAAAGTGTTTTAAAAAAGCATGGGACTATCATCAAAAATCTATTTTCAGAATGAGGCCTTATAGGGTAAAACTGCCACTGTTCTATTAAAAACAAAAAAAATTACTTCATGTCAACCTTGCATCCTCAAGTCATCAGCAAATGACAGAGGAAAATGCTCTACGTCAATATTAACTTTTTATGGTGCACTCTCCCCAAAACCATCAGGATTGATCGAATAAGCAGCTTCGGTAAAAGGCAGTCCACAAGGTGACTCAGGAACACAGAACCATGCAACCCAGGGTGCATCTCATGCAGCAAAATAGAAGGGAATGCGCAAAGCTTCATGTGAATCTCGGTGAAAACAATATTTGAAAAGATTCAGATATTTTCACAATCTGTACCTTTTAAAATTACTTACTTCTATTTATAGCAAGCAAATTACTTGGGCCTTTTTAAAATCGCCTGCTTTTCTGGATGAATGCTTGAATATTTACCCTGTGTGGCCTCATATTTCTCATGTTTATCCCAGATGTTTAGGTGACTAGAAGATATAGCTGGTAGCACCTGAAGATAAGTGATAGAACTTAGGACTCTCTGCATCCTGAACCAACCTACTTTTAGACTTGTGGGTTTGCTCTTGGACTAATTTATTTATTTAAGAGGATTTATTTATTTATTTGGAAGCTATGCAGGTGGCTTTCTTAGCTGTCACGGCAGACCCAGAAACTCCTAAAGCATGCTCGGCATGTTTCTTTCAAACTCTTTGTACATGCTATCAGAGTAACGTCTCCCACAACAAATTTGATGACTTCCAAATTCCAGTTAGTTCCTCTGAGTCACTGCAACTGTCAACAACAAGGTGGGATTCCTGCTTGGTTTTTGGTTTGTTTTGGGGTTTTGTTTTTTTTTTTTTCTTTTCTCTCCCGTGCTAGCATTTCCAAAGGAATTATGATGTGAAGTCTGTCATAAAAGAGCAGTTTATTCCATCGTGAAGGTCTCCTGTTAATCCCATCTGAGGCCATCTTGGCCTGCTTTGTTCAGTCTGATAGACTGAAGGCTCGTAAAGAAAATTGAGGTTCTTGAATGATTCATAGTCTTCCTATAGCCTGGCATGATGTACACAGGGCCGTGTGATCTCCACAGCAGTTGAGAAAAATGCTTTTAATTCCCTAAGCCAGAAAAGCTCTTGAGTTGTGGGTCATAACTGAAGTCAGCCTGCTCCCCACTGAAGAACGTTGTCAACACCAGAAATGTTCTGGACTTTTTTCACCTAAACTTCTGTTTCTCGGAAATGTGGGCTGAAAAACTGTCTCTGAAAGCTGTACAGCACTCCGGTCTTCCAGGCAGAAACATTTTTTCCTGGTATCAGGAAAGATCACTGTACTAGCAGCAGCTGGGGAGAATGGAGGAAGGAGAAGGGGTAGAGGTATTCCAGATAGAAAGTCTGTGATTCTTCTCAGGATTTTGTTTACTATTTTCTGATTTTAACAGTTTGGCTACCTGACTTACAGGAGCTGGGCTATGAGAGGCTTTGAGTCAGCATCATTTCACAGAAGTCAGTGGGATTGGTTTGGTTACTGGTTTGGGGAGGGGTTAAGTGTTGTGGGATTTCTTCTATTGTTTTGGGTTTTTTTTTTTTAATTCCATCTAAATGTTTAACTCAGCAGTTGGTGGGGGGTGACACACTACAGTTTGCTATATTCTGAAATAGATGTGCCCAGTTTAGGTACAAATTATGAAGCTGGTAGTGACTGTCTTGATTATTAATGGACCACATGATCTAGAGCTTGTAGTTGTTCAGCAAACAGGAGGTGTGAGATACAAATGACGAGTATTTTCCCCTGACATTATGTGCTCTCAACCTGTTACACCATTGTCAGTTCTAAATACGAAAACCTCATGTTTGGCTGAGTGTTAAGGCACTTGGCACATGTCTGCAGCGTAGTTCACACACATAGCAGATCACAGCCCATAAGCATCACTAATTCGCTTTTATCATATATCTCGGGCTATTTGTGTGATTTACATCGAGGCAGTGGGTGCTCGACTAGGATACGTGCAGCATATATCAACCTGATAACTGTGATACTTTTTTTTTTCCATTTAATTGCTTTTGTATACATCTCATTGCACAAGATGATCCTCTTAGAAATAAGCCCACTTCTATAGTGTTTTCTGAATTTTAGTAGTACTTGCTCATGCAGATGGTCCAGTTGAAGCAAGTTGATTGAGCAGGTGTGTGGTATGCTTTGAAATTATTGCAGATCAGCTGTTTTGAACCTGTATTTTAATCTTGCCCTCAGATCTCCTCAGCACAAGAGTTTCTAATGCAATGATTTTACTAT